ATTCGGAGGAAAATGATTTTGAGATAGTTTTCAATTCCATTTCAGCGTTCGTACAATTTTTTAGGTTTTACGCGAGTAACCGAAATAAGTCTCGTTTATCGTATAAACCCCGTGTCAATCGATTTCTTTGCTGGCCACATGTATTATTTGCCTATCGATATTCTACACATAGGCAATTCACATCGTAAGACTTATTTTTGTTTGTTGTAAATTTACTTTATGCTAGCCGAAGCGAGATGTGGAAGGCAAAAGTGGTAAAGTCTATTACGGTGATTGTAAAATTATTTTGTATTGCATTGCGAATTTAGGTCAATCGCGTGACTACCCATAAATAAAAATTTACTTATATGGAGGTAAATTGCAATAAAATAAAATAAAGCCGAGTTATTTGTATTAATTACTGGTATTATTTATAACGTGTGTGTATGTGCATGTGTGTGTGAGAGCATGCTAATTTTTATTTGAATAAAACTAAAATAACAGAGGATACTTTTACAGCCCTTTTTTCTATATTTTGCGACGTTATACAAAAGGGCATTTTTTTCGTTGTTTTCAAAAATGTTGTTTTCAGTAAAGATCTGATAGCTAAATTACTTGAATTAGAGATTAGATGCAATAATTTAAATGCGAATATACTATATAAATCAGCGAGAATTATCAGGATGTTAGCAATTTAATAATGCATTATTGCGCGCGCCGGTATTACGCAATTATTTAATTAGTGCACAAATTGTTGGTTAATTGTTTATCTCTTGTGTAATTGTAATAATCAAAGACTTCTGAAAGAATAATCATTTGCCATTTACTCCCTTTTCCAGCTCTTGATCTCGGGTTTTTCATTAAAAATTTAGGATAAGTATCGATCAGATTAAACTTTTGCAATAAACATGCAATGCTCCCAATGTACTTTCTACGTTTTTTTACGATCACAGTTATCGGTTACCTTTATGCAAGTCTTCGTATCGGTTACGTCGATAACTCATTATCTGTCACATTACGAGCTAGTCTTAGCACTGGCTTTAACCGACTTCAAAGATTTACAGAATATTCTATATACAATTCTATATTATTAACAGAAAAAATATATACCATTAAAGATTTAATTCTGTTAAGATTCTGTTAAGAAAGTATCTGTTAAGGCAAGTGCAAATATGCTAAAGAACACGCACGAGTCATTAAACGTTATCGAAACATTAAAACCAAAAATTCTACGAAAATATCCAATAAACTTTTTTTTACGAAATTTGCTGGAGACTGTACAATACACTGTAAAAAATTACATGTAAAATTACAATTATTATGATGGGTAATATTGGGACCACCTATTAAAGGTGTATAGTTACATACGTCTGTAAATTTACACCTTGCAGGTAAAATTATTACCTTATATAATAAGTAAACTGCATCCTTTTAATTGTGTAAATTTTACAATTTGTTGTAATTTTTCATCAAGTATAAACAAGTATTTACACAGCAAAGAGTGAAACAAATATCTTTGGTAAAAGTACATAAATTAATATATTTCTGTTATTAATAGCGTAATCGCTACACTTATTATGTATGTAATTTTACATATTTTTTTACAGTGTAAAATTAATATGAAATTAACTCATAATTTGTACGAACAACTTCATTCCGATAGTGTTTCACTAGCGAAGAAATCATCGATTCGAAAAGCAGAGATTAGTGATCATTTATTACAACAGAAATAAGGACAGGATTACCAGCACCAGCATCTTTTGAAGAAATCTCTTCTATCCGTGCACAATCCAGCAGCGAATTAGCCAAACGGAGAAAAAAATAAACTCAAATTGATGGAAAGGTCAGCGCAAATGTCTCGGATACCTTGTAAGCAGGGTAGTAGCGGTAGTTAGCGACGCGAAGTGACCGCTAACGATCACGTTTCATTAATGCCTCTTATTCCGTTAACGTTAGAGATCGAGCGCGTGCGCCTCGCTCGCTCGCTCGTTCCGACCTGTCTGTCGTCGTCGCGACTACGCGCCACTTGTTAACTGTTAAGGACAGGTGGAACCGACGCGCGCGCGCGCGCGCTCACGATTACCGCTTACGTTCCGTCACGACACGGAGTTCAAGATAAGAAGAAAATTTGCAAGCCTGCGACACCGACCCCGTCATCCTCCGATGCCCGCGCGGAATTTGTCGTATCGCCGGCGGCTTTCTACTTTTCCGCGCCGAGCGTTTAAGGTAAATCAAATCAGATCGTTTCTTACTCGTGTCTCAATCACGCCGGCGATTTCTATCGCTGCAAGCGAGACGTTGAAATTGTCAGCATTCAAGAAGAACTTTTTCAAGAATTAATCTGATTTAGTTTACGAAATTCGTCAAACTCGGATTACATTAATTTGTACCAAGAATAAAAAAGTATCCCTCCCAGACGTAATTCTGATATTTATATTGCAATTTATGAAAAATCGCATTTTCGAAACTTCCAACAAATATCTCGAGGGGAAAACCGCTGACCAAAATCTTGTACACCAATGCCCACTAATGTCCAGTGGGCATTACTTAATCTTATTATCTTGTATGATCTTATTTTATCTTATTACACCTTTAATAATGCCCCAGAAAGGCCTAATACCCAAAATAATGTCCAAAATATGGCCAGTAATGCCGCAAATCTGCACACCACAATGCTCTCAGCGGTTTACCCCTCGAAATATCTATTCTAACTTTCTAGTTGCTAAAAATTGAATGAGGAATCCTAACGAAGTAACTTTTAGGTAAATTTAAGCAAAAGCTGAAATACGTGTGCCCGATTCGAGTTTCCTCTCAAACTCGGTGTCATTTACACAGATCTGCCAGAGAGGGAACATGACCCTGTTCCATCACTCGTCACGTTCGGTGCGATGATAAATCGACCGCGGAAGGTCGTCACGCGAGTCAAACGGTAGAGTCATCCGGCAGCGGTCCATGCAGCCACCGAGATGAGGTGGGAGCCAATGGTCTCGGCGACGAAGAGATCGCGCGGAGAGGTGGAAGCGCATTGAACCGACGCCGACAGCAAATTGGACTACCTTCAAAAATTCACCGCTCGTTAAGCACCGACGCGACGCGACGTAACGCGACCCGCGACGATTGGCGAGAGCGTCGCCGCGTATTACTAATCGACGATCGCGAGGGGAAACTGCTGGGACGCGGTGTACGTATCTCGGTGAACGAGGCGACGCGACCGCGGATTCGCGACTTACGTGGCGGGTTAAATATAAGCGCGACGCACGGCGTCCCGACGATCACGCCCGGAGAGCGCCTCTTTCCTCTTACGTCGCAGTCGTAGCCGTTCCAAGATAAGATAGTGCTTGGACACTCCGTGTCCAATGTCGTTGGAACAATGTCGTTGAAAACGATCCCTCGTCGCTCTGCTCTCATAGAGCTCTCCTTTGTAGCGGCATTACGATCTTTCCTAGATTAGACGTGAATTTTGCAAAACGATTCCATGCTATTATTGGATACTGCATAATGCAAATGTCAGTTTATCAAAGCCTCTCGACAGAAGAAATGCGTAAACGGCGCGTGTTATAAATTCTATGACTTGGATATCTCGATCTTGCTCGCTGTAAATTCTCAATGGTTCCAACGTCGAATGTGACAATTGATTTAAAACGCGGATGTTACGCGACGAAGGGAAATTAGAACGTGTTACAGCAACACCGCGGAGGTCACGAGCTTATTTCTGACTTGACAAAAGACATCGCATTCGAGCCGAAAATAAATTTCCGCTAAATTTCCGTACAATTTTTCGTTGGGGTTTGTACTTTAATTAACAGTTAAAACATGTTCTCTAAATTAATAAAAGTTTAGTCCTGAATTTAAACGTAAAATCTGCCTGTACCTCCGTGCTGTATCACGCGTGAATTAAAATATTCACGTGCGTTTACATAAGTTAGCTGCCATATTGCCGGGCTGTCTGCAAAAGGGAAATATGTACACGCGCCTGTTGGAACATCCCTCTCCATATTAACAATATTGCTGCACTATATCCCGAAACTGATCGAGAATTCTACATCGATGACGCGTTTCAACGGAAAAACTATCAGGCAGAGTGTATCGAGCTCGATCGTACCCTCGAGTCATCACAAATCGACCGAAGCGGTCGTCCTGCGACGAACAATTATCGGGAACAAGTGAGATATCACGCGGCGCGCTCCTGTTTATTCGAACCCGAACGCCCCTAAGGGCTTTAAATTCTTTCACCTGCTCAAATATGCAGTCGATTTATTGGCGTATTTTATAGATCGATATACGCTGTCGAAAATCGAGCGAATAATTCATGCTCGTGTATTTCGCGACTAAGTACCTGGATAGCTGAAACCTGAGGTTATTAAAGTGTAATTTGAAACTAACCGAGTTTCAGAGACGACTTTTTTATCTCAATACAAACACCGTAGTTTTTGGCATTTTTAACCGAAAGTGCTTATCTCTTAACAATTTTTAAGGAAAATGTTTGAAATTTGTGACAAAAAGTACCGCGCTACAATACTTGGCAAGTTTATTTGTAGCAATTGCATCATTGGTTTTACCGCGTTTTCGGATAACGAAATCTACAAACCGCATTATGAAACTACAATAGTCGTCAGTTGTAAGAATGTGGTCTTCAAAGATATAAAGATATAAACTAGATCGTGACTTAAAAAAAGGACGGCTAAACGACAAATTAACTGTCGTAATAAAAAAACTTAGATGAAAAAGATGTACAAGTGCCACAATAAAAAAAAGTTGAGAGAAATTAACTTCTCTCTAAACAAAATTCAGTCGTTCGAAGAAAGTGTATACTTTCTGTTTCATTATATACTCGTTTCATCAAAAACATTTAAATAAACTCTCCAGCTGCGCTCTTAACTGTAATCAGCTGTAATTTGAAGCGAAATGGTACCCTCTTGTTTTTCATTTCGCGTCGAGCTTCCGAGCGTCATTTTCTATCAGCGCGTACGCGTTCGATCGACTAATCGGGGATTACAGTACGCATAATTTTTGGGACTCACCGTAATCCGGTCGAACGACAGCTTGGACGACTTGTTCGTTCTTCTTGTTTCGGATCACCGGCTCGCCGAGGATCGTGAAGTTTCTGGGTCCCACGCGATCCACAAACACTAGATACACTTTGCCCCTTTTAATATTGGCTCGCACCACACCACTCGGATTATCGCGTTGCTGCTGTTGCTGCTGCTGCTGCTTGTTACCGGCCTCGTGGCCGTTGCACACGGTCGACTTGCCAGGCACCAATTTGTCGCGAAAATGTAGCCGCACGCTATCGTTCTTCTGCAGCGGCTGAAAGCCCGGCTGGTTCTTGTATACCTGCTTCACCTCGAAGGTCACCGCGTAGTTGAAGCCGGGCTTCCTCCGCGAGGACATGCTGCGAACCTTACCCTCGAACACGGTGGGCGCCAGGTAGGCCCGATTGCCCACGTCAACATCGGGACACCAGTTTTGACCGCGGCAGCCTCTGTCCTTGTTTCTGCAGCGGCGTCGCTGCTCGCGGGGCGAGTCCGCTCTGGTACGGTTCTTTGGTCTCTGCTTCGTCGATCTGGCGATCCGTGGCCGCTGCATCGACGACTCCGCCGGTGAATACGCGAGGGGTGCTTGCGTCGAGGAGTGACGGGGCGCGCGAGTCAGACCGGACTCGTTTATCTCGGGATGAAAGGCGCGAACGCGCGTCTCCGTCTCGACGGCGGGGAGGGAGGCGCTGTCCTTGGCGGGGTCCTCCGTTCGTTTGGGACTCGGCCGAGTTCCAGGATCCACCGCGGACGACGTTGCTCCACGTGTCGCCAGGTAATACGAGAACCGTCGCATGTCGCTCTCCGGCGATCCTTCTCCATCTCGGATGAGGTCCTCCCCGAGGTTCACCGAGCTCTGACGAAGCAGCGAGACCGCGTCGAGGTCGCGAGGACGAGCTGGGCGAAGGTCGGAGGACGTGTGCTCCGGGTGTGCCGCAATTTCTCGCGACTGGTACCACCCCGTAACTCCGGCCTCGTCCACCACGCTTATCGACAGTGGACGATAGTGCCTCGCCTCGGTGATGCTTGTCGTCGTCCCGGACGTTTTCCCGAGGACGGTGTCCCGAATGGCGGGGGGTGCCGCAGCGAGCGCCAGTGCGCCCCACCAGCCGCTTAAGAACCCGGCCAAAAGCAGAGGCGCCCACATCATCCAACCTGGTTGGCGGTGTGATCGGGGGTGAGGTCGACACCTCGGTCACCCCGACTCGCACAGAGGCACGCGTTTCTCGCCCCCTCCTTCTTGGTGCTCGGGGAACGTGTCCCTTTCGCTGATACAGATGCTCCTGCGAGTCCTATGTTCCTCGTTGTTTCCCCCCTCGCGAGTAGTCACCTCTGTCTCTCTCTCTCTCTCTCTCTTTCTCGTCCCGCTCGCCCAAACGGCTAGATCGTTGTCGGCTTCCTCTTCCGGGATTCGGGCTCCTCACGAGGTGTTGTACCGCCGGTAGTGGAACGTCGGGGTTTCTTCCATATTCCTCTTCGTCCTACGAGACACTATTCTCCTCATCGTCAAAGCTGGCGGAAACAGCACCGGTGGCGAACCGCAAGATGCGGCCGCTTATCTTATCTACGGGCGTTTTCCTTTCTTTCTTCGGAAAGGCGTCGTATTATCGCAGATGATCCCGACCGGCGGCTGCGACGATCGCGGACGCGATAACCAGCATTGATCTCTCATAGGTCGTGTTCATTATGATTCGCGATCGGCACGATCATCCTGGTCCGACCTGAACCGGGGCCTCATCGATGGTCTCACCGCGAGAGCCCCGTCGAGTTCTTTCCGCGATTCCGAGCGAGACGGGCTCGGATGCTTGACAGTCGACGGAACCGGCCGAGTAGTCCTCTCTAGTCCACGTGTTCGCTCGCACTCGCGGGCAAACGGAACTGCTCGGCCTCGCACCAGGGAACACCCGCGGCCGTCAGCGACATCGAGTCGTGCGGAATTCCGCGGATCGTCTCGCCAACCCCTCGCGCGCTGTCCGAGACTCGGGGTGTCGCGGACCGAAGCGGCAAAAGTGAGAAAGAGAGAGAGAGAGAGAGAGGGAGGGAGAGCGCGGGACACGGTCGGCGAAACGGAGATTCTCTATAACGGGGACGAAAAGAGGAATACGAGGACGGTAACGGCGGCGGAGACGACGACGACGACGACGAGGAAAGTGTCGGCCTCCTCTCTGATCAGCCGAGACACTATTTAAATATACCCACGAGACGACCGCTCCTCTCTCGACTGTACGGCCACCCGCACACTTGCTCGCTCGCGCACTACACTCTTCGGCCCGACGCTCACCACTCTCGCGCACGTACTCGGGCTCCGCTTTTCGGAACGGGCCACCCTTGCCGATCCGCGTGACAATGCGGAAGGAGAAAGGCGAAGAAGGGTTCGCGCGGAGGGACACGAGGAAAGAGACGGACGAATAATTAGCAAGCGTTGCCACTTGCGCTCGTTATCATGCTCTTTTCTCCACGCTCTGTTTCTGTTAATTTTTTCTCTCTCTCTCCCTCTCTCTCTCTTTCTCTCTCTCTCTCTCTTTCGCTCTCTCTCCCTCCCTTATTCTTTCCTCCTTCTTTTTTTCTTTCTATCTCCCTCTCTGTCTCGCGAGCGCGCGCGCGAGAAACCGCTTCCTCTCGCGCGGAGATGGTTGCGCGCGGCCTCCGTGCAGGATCGTCGACGACGGGTGGATCGGGTGGTCGCGCGTGTCGCACGCGGCATAAAACACACGAGGCGTCTCGCGTGTCACGCGTGTCGCGAGAGACCGGAGGAAGGGAGAGAGATCGCCGGTGGCCCCGCGTCGGGCGCGCGCGACGGTTCAAATTAGACTGAGCGGCCCGCTCGCGCAGACCGAGGCCGGCCACAGCGCCAGCGGCGCCTGGCGGACGCCGGTCGAGGCTTGCGCGCGCAGCGCGGTCGCGCGAGAGCGAGACGGAACGACGGAGCGACGACGGGACCTTTAAGAACCTGTATAACAACGACCTAACAACCGAAGGAACCGCACGCGTGTGATCCTCCCGGCCCGTCTTTCGCTCTCTCTCTCTCCTCCGCGAGTCCCTTCGCCATCTCTCTGTCCCTCGCGCCACATCTTTTCTCTCTCTTTCTCCCTCACTCTCGCACCTCCCGCTCGCCCGCTCGCCGTCTCCCCCGCGAGAAAGAGAGAGGGAGAGAGAGAGAGAGAAACGGCGCTCTTTATCTCTCGCATTCGGTCGTACTCGTTGCTTGTGTATACGGCTGTTCGTCATCTTTTAAATTGTGTTCGGAGATGCCCTCTTCTTCCTCCTCCTCTTCCTCCTCCACCTCTTCTTCTCGGCTTCTTCTCCCTCTTCTTCTTTTACGACGACGTCGTCGTCTTCATCTTCTCTTCCTCTGCGCCGGGACGCCGCTCCTCTTCGCTCGCGCGAGCTGGCGAACGTCATCGGACTACCGAAAATAAAGTCTTCCTCCGCGCTTTCCTGTCCTCTCGTCTCTCTCTCTCGCGCCCTCTCTTTCACGCCACTTCCGAGTCGAATATACGCGCGAGCGAAGGGGCTTTGTAAGTGCGAGCGCGAGAGGAGAGGGAGGCGAAAAGGAGCGCCCACCAAAAGGAACTCTCTCTCTTTCTTCCCTTACCGTCCCTCCGTCTGTCTCGAGAACTGCCAATCAAATGGTCCTCCATGAGAGAGTCGGCCTCTTAAACGGATAGTTTTTCACGCTCGCCGCGTGACAGATTAATCCCGGGCTAAATGGCGACACTTAAGCGCGCCGCGCGCCGTAATTAACGCCGCAGCGGCATTCGTCTTCTTTTTGCACTTTCCCGCGCGCGAGCGCCGCGCTCCCGCGCTCCACCCAATTCAAAACGATCCCTCCTGCGCGCCGATATTATCCCGTGACTCGTCAAACCCGCCTCGTTTCTTGGATCGTAAGCAAATAAGACGTACACGTTCCTTGGATCAATTCGAACGACTTTTCGTTTCTCCGCTCATTTTCTTAGCAATGCTTCGTTACGCTCCTAACTTAGAGAGCCTTAATTAAAACGTCCTTACGTTGCTCCTGTTTAACCGGAAAACGACGTAATTATATTCTGCACAACCTGGTATGCGGAAACGCAGCGAGATTTTACGTCGTATGCTTGAGACGCGCAGCCATGTTTTCGCGAATAGTAATTTCGAGCGCGAGAGTCCGCCTTCTTTTTTTTTTTGCATGTACTGATAACACGCGATTTATTGACATTTCGATTTATTCCCTTTTCTACGGGAATATCTGGAACAGTAAAACCGTTTTGACTACATTCGATAGTACAGAATTATAATTTTTTTTTTATACACAATATAATTGACGTGTATGTCAATTGGTTTCGGATAATAACTGCGCAAGCATGATTTATGTCAGATAAATTTACTTCTATGTGTGATATTTATCTCTCAAGCCAATTTCTTGTAGTTCCTTCGACAAGATTAATATCTTTCTTTTTCCAATTCTAGTCTCGCGTTATAGTTACGAATTGTTTCGGGCGATGCAGCAATTGTTCTCGAATATAAATACACGAGTTAAAATATATGACTCTTTTTATCACATCTCGATATTAGCCGAAATTTCGTCCTATCCATATCTTTGAGATAGAAAATTTATTCTACAAATATTCAAATGCAATCTATAAATTTCAGTACACATTCGTTAATAGCGTTAACTTTGTCTCGTATTACATGCTTTATAAAGAGACCAATTTTTATATAAAATTAATAACAGCAATGCAAATAGTGTATAAATAAATAAAAAATTATTTTAGTTATATTACTTGTTACTCGCTGTGTTTATTCAATATCTAATAAATTCATTTATACATTTATTTATTTTGCACACCGTGTGCTTTATAATATATCAATACTCGTTGTTAAAAAAACTTTTAAAACAACAAAAGTACTTCTCTCAAAATATATTTTGGTGCATTTTCCATATATCGCATTATATTTATTATTTAATATAATGAATATATAAAGTAAAAACTGAATGTTGTTGTCTTCGTAAATAATAATGTCACTGTACTATATAGTTTACATGTAACAATGTTCGCATAAAACATTTTTGTACAACATTAATTGATGTTTTTCTGCAATATTAGTAACAACATTAATAAATGGTGAGAAAATATTGCACGATTTTGTGATGTTGTCTCTATCTGATAAATACGTAAAATGTCAACTGCACATCTACGTAATGTGGAATTATATCCGGCTTTTTTCCGTCACTTTGCGGTCTATGATAATACCTTGGTGCGATTCTTCCGCGCTTTCGAGTCGACGCGTGCCGATCCGATTATTATAAACTGGAATGTTTGCGCGAATCGGTGAAAATCATAATCGAAATTCGGTTTTGTCTCGCGAAGCGCAAAGCATCCGCGATCGTTGACCGATCGATCGGCATGGCGCAATGCTAGCAAGGCTCACGGTCGATCGGCGATGCTTTGCCGAATATCGAATTACTCGCGGACACAGCTCAAGAGCAGCCAACTATACGCGAATACATGCGATCATTCTACCGATTGGATTCGACGAGGCATCGACTTTGGGATGGCCCATTGTCCCGCGTGCGACCTTCTGTAATCACTATGTCCGCTGTAGCTGTGGGCTTTTGTACTATTGTCATGACCGCATTGCGTTTCTACCGCGAAGCTTTTCAATCCCGATCAATATTGAAAGAGCGTATTAAATACTATTTCATCGATATTTTCACATTAATATGTATAATTCGTTTTAGAATAGGAAGGGGCCTTTCGAGTTAGAAGGATCCAATTTCTTAATTTTTAGTGTCAAAGCTGATTCAATGTTTTTACTTGTTTCAGATACTTCCCATACCTCAAGGGCTTCTGAAACTCCTAAGCTTCCAAGATTTTTAGATGTTTTCAAAAGTTTTCATCCTCTTGCTCTTTAACTGACTCAAATCGACTCTCCGTATCTTACATATTAGAAGAAGCATTAGAAACATCATTTAAATAGCTCTCTTGATTCCAAGGAAAAAAATTATTTCGCAAAGATGTCGATAGTTTCTAAAGAATAACGGAAGTTTGAAAATTTATCTATTAGAGAGAGAGAGAAATTTAAATTTTCCAATTATTTACTGCAAAATAAAGGATATACGGTTAATTTAAAATTTCATTAATTATTATTAAAAAAACCTTGGATACTTTATAACCTTTGTAAATATATACTTTTTAAATTTATGTTTTAAATAATGTGTTTCAAATTACATTATTCAGTCATTTCAAATGTGCCTTGTTAATTATGGTTGAAAGAAAAGTACCCTAGCTCTTTATTCGACAACTGATGATTCGCAAAGTGATATCTTTTCAATAGCCGAAAAAATATACGGGCGGAGATAAGCAGGACAAGCTTTGACGTAAAAATTCAAGGCGCACATTCTACGGATAATCCGCAAAGTAGATCTTTATCGTAAGTACCAGTTGCACGTTTACAATCAATGGGCCAATAGAGATTTCCTTGATCGGGCAAGTTCCTGCGATGTAGCGAAGAAGGGCGTGAGTCTTGTCGGGATAAAGCCGGTTTCGTTTTGCAAATACGCCCGAACTGTCTATACAGCAACTCTTGGCGGTCGAAGCGGACTTTACGTAACGGTTTATGACAATTGTTACATTGTATTTTCTCGAATCTTTGAAATAGCGAATGACCCAATTTGTAAACTTATATCTCTTTTCTTTATGCGCTTCTCTTTAGGAAACAAACAGAGATAGAATTTTCAAAAACGGCTATGAAAAACACCAGAGAAACGAAATCATTTTAGACTTTCAGAAATTATCTCATCCCTCAACAGATCTATGTTGTACATGTTCTGAAGAATTAAAAGTCTTGAATGATTGTTTTTAGCCGAACTTAATCAACAGTCATATCTAATCAAATGGAAAAAATATGTATTTCTTCTATTGAGGAATTTGTACAAATCGGCTTCGAAAAAGAAACACGGAATCAAATAGATCAAATAATTTGAATTGTGCACAGTTTTAACAAAACTTTAGATAATGGCGTCTCGGCTAGGGAGATATTTGATATTAGAACTTAAACAATAAATTAGGAGCATTGCGGTCAAACAGGGAAACAGCAATTCAAAGTTCCATCGACAACATATGTAGTTAACGTGTTCGCATTTTGCGTTGTAAATACTGAATCAAAACAGTACTGTCGTACACTGATAAAAAATATATTAATAAAAAAAATATTACTTTACTCAAGAAAATTATTCATCGAGTTGCTTGGAATAGCTTATTAACTAAAATTTAAAAAATTATAAGCAAATTAAAACATGCATTTCTTTAATTTAAGTATTTATTAAATATCAAACAGTAGATAATTTTAAATTAAAAAATTTTTACTTTAATTCTATAAAATGTTTACTAGGATACAAGTTTTACAGCGAAGAAAATTGGATTTCTTATTTGACAAAAACAGTGAATTTATTTAAGAAATAATATTCTCTATCTATCTTATGAAATCTTTAGTTGAATGTAGAAAATGTAAAGATTTAAATTAATTTACTAAATATAATACACAGATTTACTTG